TCCAAAATTTGACTATTCTGTTGTAGGAATATGATGGAAAGATGGGTGGAATTGAATAGTTATATGATCACCATTTAAATTTGTGTTTTGGTTTGCTCTGAAAGAGACCATTTGGCTTAGTTTCTTCCAAACACATTTCGAAGCAAAATGTTGTTTCTGTTGTTTTTGCAGCTAGATATATTGTTCGTGTATCAATGGATTCACATTAATGAATGTGCCTAGTGAATTCTCTAACAAGGCCCTCAAGGATTGTTTCAATTTTTTTTTTTCATATGAAGTTTTTATTAAAAATCATGGTGACTACATGGTAACCTGCCACACATTCCGCCAAAAGAGAGCCACAAATCCCGCCAAAGGAGAGCTATAAGAGAAATACGAGAATTAAACAATTAGAAATAAGCAAATACCAAACTCAAAAGAGTAAAACAAAGATTGAAGCCATATCAAAGGGGAGTTGATGTGTAAGCACAATCTCGTGGCCGTATTCTTCGTGAAAGATGAAAGAGGATCTCGACCCGTTCTAAGGCTCGTGCCCCCAACAAAACATGAAGATGGTGAGACCATAGGCACATAGACCCGTTCAAACCTTATCAAGAACCCGATTCAAAGAAGACTTTTGATGGAAACCGGAATTATATGGCCTAATTGCAGCCCAAGCTCCAAACAAGGCTCAGATCAAAATTTAAACAATGAGAAGATATCAGCAAACCCAAGCTGGTGGAATAGACGGTATCATAAAAAGCTGGAGAGGACATATCAAATCGGGAATCAGAATCACAAACGAGAAACAACGAGGCAGCACTAGACATCCTACGCAAAGCCTAGGACAATCTGAACCTCAAGAGCAAACCCAATTAAAGAAAAACGAGTGGAGGACAACCAACACTTCCTTCAGAAATCCGCTCCAAGCGCGACCTCCTCCACCTCCAAGACCTAATCAGAGCCTAGCTCTCTAGCTTCCCGAGCCAGAAGATCTAGAATGGATCCAGAATCAAAGATTGAAATCCACCTACTCGGCCAAAGAAGCAAACTATCAAGGAAACTACAAGAAGAAAGCAAATTAAGAAACTAGAGCTATGGAAGCCTCCGGCCCATCGGTCGAGAATCCGGTGAAATCGCTGATTTAGTTTGTTTCCAGAAAACTTTGGATTTCTCAAAGGAGAGAAGCCAATAAGCTCAAAAGCAAGTGAGATTTTTGCAAATCTGATTTTTGAAACTATGTGGGTCAAACTAGGATCAGTGAGTGCAATACTCCAATTGGGCTCTGATTTGAAAAGGGATATGATGGATACGATTTTTCTCCGTAAAAGGAGGAAGGTGAAAGCAGGATGATAAAGGTAAAAACCTCAACGGACTCTCAAATATCTCTCCCCGATGGAGGAGGAACACATATATGATCTCTCCTGGCCAAGGAGTAGTTTTGTATTACGTCCAAATGTAGTAGTAACCTCGGCTAAGTAACGTAGAGACAAAGCAGTGATCACGGGCTCACTAAGTCTGCAAGATGGGCTAGAAACATACTCCAACGTTTTTTGGGCCCAATAGGCAATATGGGCCAGGCCCATCAAATTATGAAACTTAGATACGAAGGTGTGAGGCAGGTCATCGGAGAAATGGTTGATGCGTGGAGGGGAGAGTGGAGACAGTAAGGCGATAGTGTTTGATTTGTCGGAAAATTTTTGTTGAGAGAGTGAAGGAGGCTTGATGATGGACGGAGTCGGAGATGAATCTAGATCTGGCGGATCTGGTGGATCCGACGGCTTAGGCGGTTGAGGAAGGATCTGTAACTCCAATGAAGCCATCATCGAGAAGTTAGAGAGGGAGATACTCCAAAAGCTCAGCCGTTGTGGACGGGGGCACAAGATTTGATGTGGTTTCACCATAAAGCTTATCGGAAACCTTTGCGTAAGTTTCAATATGACCAGAAGCCGAAAGAAAATTGAGAAAGTTTTCGCCGGCGGTGAGAGTTACCGACGGAAGTTAGACACAGATCTTCGGTTCTCCTTGATTGAGTCTGAGAGAGAAGGGAGCAGACGCCACTCAGGAAGAGGGGAGATCAAACCTTGACCGACGGTGGTTGGGACTTTCTTTCATCTGAGCTATGCGACAGCCTCCTCGTAAATTGTGTATGGGAGAACACGTCCTAGGGCGAACTATCTTCTTATCTCTGTCCACGTAACTTGTTGGTTTAGTTAGGCTCTTTTTTTACAAAGTAAACTAAACAGCCATGTTGACAAAGTAAACTGGGGATTCACCGACTACGCGGAGAACAAGCTCGACTTCCGCCTGTATTTCATAGAGGGCACGAAGAGCGATCAAGTCCTCGGTCTTCATATGGCTTAAGGGGAAATGTCTGAAGCTCTTAAGGATGATCCGTCGACTTGTTCCACGAACACCCTTGTTGACAAGATCTCAAGTTAGATCGATGAGATGTTTCGACTCCTAATTGTGAGACACACGATGTCGCAATGGCAAGTTACCAAGATAGCGGGACACGCGACTCCTAATTGTGAGACACACGATGTCGCAATGGCAAGTTACCAAGATAGCGGGACACGAGTGAACTCACAAGTTCAAGTACTCGGTTCAAGTAAGGTGCGAGGTGGACACGAACACATACAAGTTAAACCCGGGCTTTGTTGCGGCTAAGAGGTTTACTTCAAGGAATGCGGGATTTGTTTTCCGATCCCCGAGATTCTCACTCACTTGATGAACGAACTTGGTGCAGCGCTCCCTCAATTGTGTCTGAATCTCATTCGAGAAGTCGTTAGCTTGCAAACCTTAGCCAAAGAGCACGGGTTGCCACTTGATATTCCCACCTTAGCTCGCATATGCATGATCCGCCAGAGCTTGGGGCGCAAAAAAACTTTTATTTCGCGATGAAGGAGGAGCACCGTGTGTTATGTAACCGTCCTCCTAAAGACAAAAAATGGCAAAAGCGTTTCTTTTTCTTTTCTGTGAACGAGTTTTCTTTCGGGATCCTTTCTTCTCTAGTCAAAATTGCTTTGTCACCTCGCATTGGTAAAACTAAGATCACGATTTTGGTTCCCCTTATAGTTTTAGAATGCTAACGTTTGGTTATTTTCTGTATTTTTTGTAGCACCTCTGCCGAAGATTCCGGATACACTCGAGGTCGATATCTTTCTAGACATTCTGCGTATTGGGAACACGTCTTGGCCTTTCATTCACCCGTTCCCGAGTTTCTGAATTCGCAGCGCAACTTCGAGCTCTCGGTCTGTATAATCCCACCTGCAAAGGTAGCCTTAAAGTTTTTCTCGACTCGCTCATATCTCTATCACATGGTGTGGTCATACTTTCTTGGTTACCATGTTGCGCATGTTGAACATGTGATGCTGACAGATTGATGTAGGGTTTTAGATGCACAAGTTTTAAATTTATAACCCTAGATACTGCAAGTGCACAGTAGACAATTGTAGTACTTAGGGGTCGATCCACATGGACTAAGTGATGAATGCACTACGAACTTATATGATTCGAATTAAGCTAAGGGAAAATATTATTTGGTTTTTAGGGTTTTTAATAAAGCAAATAACAAGCCATAATTAAAGGGATAGCTAGATCAATTAAGATGAGAATTCAAGCAATTCAAAACATATGCAAAACACAAGCAATTGGTTTTAGAGTTTTTTAGACTAGATGTTCTAGAACTAATATCACTAATGTAAGGTCATCCCACTATCGTGACGTAACTAACCATCTATGTTTTGCACCCTAATAGACTCAACTATCGTAGGTTATTACAAAGTGAAAACATGCTTTATGATTAAGATTGATTATTCACTAGAATCCTTAACTAACCTATCGAATTGTTAAGACTCCTAGCCCATCGAATACTAGGTCCGGAGATATAGCTAGCTTTTGGAAAGTATATCAACCTAGGATTAATCCTTGGTTAGCTAAGCCAAGTTCATGCATAGGGTTCGAATAAAGATGGAGAAGCAATTCTAGAATAAAACTCTAATCGATTAAGTATGTAAAAGCATAGAATTAAGAAGATGCATAGAAATCAAATCAAAGCAAATACTCAACACGTAGCAGCAAGAGTAAAGCACAAAAACACAGTATAACATTCATCTACTAAGCGTAAGGAGTTAGATCTCATGTCTTCGCAATAGGGCAAAGTCAATCTATCCTTAAATGCTTGTAAAGAATCAAAGATGTATTAAGAACAAGAGATAAATGAAATACATATTTAAGTATTGATTTAGGCTATTGAGGTCGGCTGCTTAGGTTCCTAAAGAGGCTAAAAACAAATATATATAGGGGTTTAGGTCGGCATAGGTCTTTTAGAATCTTCTCCGGGAAAAAACGTCTTTTTAGTCGAAACTGAGGCAATAACGATCCTAATAACGGACGGCTTGCGTGACCGGTATTGGAGGCTTCTATGATGCTTCTAGAAGGTCAGCAAAGGTGTAGAGTATCAGCCCTTAAGTGGCCCGGCACTTGACTCCTTTGTGCACACACTTCATCTCCTTTGTCCTCAGTGTTTCAGGTGTATCTTCCAAAGTATAGCTCCAATTGGCACGATTCCAACTCCATTCACTACAAGAAAACAGGGCCGTTTCCGACGGCCAAAACCGTCAGAAATCCGTCAGAATAAGCCCTATTCCGATGGCTTTCCGACGGTTTTGGTCCGTCGGTTCTATCTCGTCGGAAATAAAAAATCCGTCGGAAATCTGTCGGAAATACTGACGGATTTCCGACGGAAAAGGGATCCGTCCAAATTCCGTCGGAATGATTTACCGACGGATTTTCGACGGCCAGAAATTCTGACGGATTTCCGACGACCCTGGTAACCGACGAATTTCCGACAGCCAGAACTTCCGACGACCCTGGTAACCGACGGATTTTCGACGGTGGCAAAAACCGACGGATTTCCGAAGGCTACGCAAAGCGACGGAATTCCGACGGATTTATTATTTTTT